AACCTCCAGCAGAACCAGGCTCAGTGTGAGCGGCCATCTGCTGAGGCCGACTGGGGTTCAAGGAGACGGAAGCAGACATAAAAAAAGCAGCTGTAACAGGCTCCCCCGTCTGTTTAATAACATTGCTAGTTAATTTATTATATTTGTTGTAACGTCCAGGTTACAACAAATATAATAAATTAAAGCAAATTAAGATATATATAAAAAGAATAATTGCAAAAAAAGAGAGAATCTGTGTTTAAAACCAAATAATAAAAACAGGTTTTACTAAAATATAACAGACCATAGAAGGAGGAAAAATATTATTTTTGAGACCAGTTAGGTGTCCCTTCATTAAAATGAAGACAAATTTTCGATCGCTTTGACTGCTTTTGTTTTGCTTTTCTAGTCTTACGCCTGGTCACGTCGTACTTGCTTACTGAACGCCATGTGCGTAACTTGAGTAAAAAAACGTGACACAAGTCATGCTGCCCAGCGATTGGCTCTGGTGCTGCCTGGATGCGTTAAGAGAATCGTTAAGCGAGCTGCCAAACGGTGCCATGGAATTGGAACACACGGAACCGGTTCTGAACAGGAACCGGTTTTCGATTCCCATCCCTAATTGCTAGCATAGTGCTAGTTAGCTGATGTACAAAAAGAAGCCATGGATTTTTTGTTATCTTGATGCTATTCTTAATGCTTTGTTATCTTAATGCCTTGCAGCAAGAAGGTTTCGGGTTCGATTCCCGGCCCGGGGTCTTTGTGCATGGAGTTTGCATGTTCTCCCTGTGCATGCGTGGGTTCTCTCCGGGTACTCAGGCTTCCTTCCACAGTCCAAAAACATGAAAGTTAGGTTAATTGGCTTCTCTAAATTCTCCGTAGGTATAAGCGTGTGCGTGAATGCTTGTTTCTCCTGTGTGTCTCTGTGTTGCCCTGTGATGCCCGAGGACCCCCCCCTCTCGCCTGAAGACAGCTGGAGATAGGCCCCAGCATCCCCCGTGACCCCGCTTGGTGTAAGCGTGACGGAAAATGGATGGATGGATTAAAAATATATATATTTATAAACGGTTTTCAATGTTTAAAATAAACTGACCAAGTTGGGCAATCTATGGTAATCTGATGGTTCTCGCTCTGTTTCAGCATGTTTTATATTGGAAATGTCAATTGAAGCCCCCTAGTGGACTTGAAGGAGATAATAATAGTTGGTGGGGATTTTTTTAGCACAGGCAGACTTTATTTATTTATTCGTTTATTTGATAGGGACAAGTATGTTTCATGCATCATGTCACACACTACAACATTTTAGCTAAGGCTAATTCTCAATGTCTGTCCCCAGTTAGGCTTTTA